GAAAGCAGTGAGGGAAAGTAGTTAGAAACCTTGAGAGCAATCTGACACTGCTACAACATCCAAACACTGATACAAAGTATCAGTCTGAGCCCATCAGGAATTGAAGAGCTGCTCCCCGCCAGAGGCAGTTTGAGAAGCCGCCCTCCACCTCTGCCAGGCCCGCCCTTTGCCATATCCCTGCCCTTGACCTCACCTGCCACTCTGCCTCACGCAGCTCTGGTCACCTGGGCGGCCTTCCTGGTCTGCAAGCACCCCTGAACACACTCCACCTCAGGCCCCTTGCACGGCTGCTCCCATCCTCTGCCTAGAATGCTCTTCCAAACCTTCACACAGCGCACTTCTCATTCCCCTTCGACCTTTGCTCCAACATCACTTTCTCAAGGAGGCTTATCCTGACACCCTCCTTAACACTGCAGACCACCCTCCCTACTCCTCAGGCTCGACTGGGTTGTTTGGTTTTTGTCTGCTGTTTCCCAGAGCACTCATCCTATAACATGCTGGATCATGTCTTAGGTTTGTTGTCTCTCTTCTCCTGAGTAGGGCAGACAGCTCTGTGCTTTGTGCTTAGGCACACAACAGGAACTCAATACACACGTGTTGAGTGAACGAGGGAACGCGAGGGAACGCGGGAGCCAGAGTGCAGCCGGGGCGGGCTTCACAGACAGAGCCTGGAAGCGGCCCTCCAGGTGGACCTCAGCACACCTAAGCTGACGGAGGCCAGCCAAGGACCCTCAGGGGCATTGTCGGCCGTGTCGAAGGCTCTGAACTGGATCCTGGGAGATCCCTGGAATCCAGAGGAGCTCTCCAAGACCCAGGCTCAGTGTATCATCCATCAAGGTGGAAGGTGGACACAAATGGGGGAGGCTAAGCGGACACTGAACTGAGGTCACGGAACTAGAGATGAAGGCACAGAATTCGAGAGGTTTCCAAGGTCAGATGTACAGATGTATGTGAGAAGTAAGGGCGGGGGAGGAGGCACGAGGAGGATCAGACGGCTAACGGTACATGACAGGAAGGTCCCCTCAAACATCATGATTTCCCTGGGTCAGAACAGCAGCTAAGGCGTGAGGCGCCTCCCCGCAGTGCCTGCTCTCCCAGGAAGGGGTGTTCTCCCCAGTCTGCCTCCCCTCCCCCGCCCCGCCGAGTCTGCATATCCCCCAGGCCTCCCTGCAGGGTCTGGGGTCCTAAGGGTGCGTCTCTGATGCGTCTCCCCGGCATCTCGGCCTGCATCTCATGAGACCACTTCCTGAATGGCCAGCGTCCATCAGACTCCCCCACGGCCGCATTCTGAGCCAGCATGTTCGAAGGAAATCTGCTGATGTGCGTACGTTTGGCACTTACCTTACACTGAACACTTGGTTGTAAGTACTAAGGAAGAACAGAAAGCCATCACGGGCCAGGGCCCTGCCCCCCCCGCCCCGCAACTGCCTCCAGGACAGGCAGGGTGTGAGATATGGAGACGGATGCATGCGCTAAACAGTCAAAGGATGAAACGTTGACACCATGTAACGCTCTGCCCAAAACTCCTCTGGGACATGAGAAATTGTCAAAAAAGACCTACTCATTTTGATCCTTCATTTCTACCAGAGCCGAAGGAGGAGACAGCCACGAGAGCTATGCACCTGGAGCCACCTGCCAGATGTGTGTGTGCAGGGGAGGCACCCAGGTGGAAAAGAACAAGAGGGGCTGAGACCAGCCTGGGGGCAAAGGGCATGGTCCTTCCTGGCCACAGCAGGAGGGAGGGGGCAGGCAGCGCAGCTGGCGCAGGCCGTGAGCCTGAGGTTAATATGCAGAGGGCCCAGGAAAGCCAACCTACACACCAGTGAACCCAAGACTCAAAACAGACCTTCCCAGTTACTGAATGGACCCCGGAGCCCTGGGGAACACTGGGAACCTGCCGAGAACAGCCCCCAAAGATCTGGTGGAAGAAATGGTGTGTAGCCCAAGGGCCTCTGGATGATCGTTCAGAACACACTTGTGGCCGTTTGCATTCTCTGAAGTGCAAAGCTGGTCCTCCTTACAAAATCCCGTATAAAACGGGGAGGAGAACACAGGAGCATGAAGGAAAATATCCCAGAGCGAACTACAGTGATCACACACACACCCAAGTCAAACAGGCCGTAATATTAATGAGGCACGAATCAAAGGGAACAGTTTCCAGGGCTAAATAAAGGCCAGCTACCTTATCGGGGAAGTCACACAAAGGCTCCTCGTTGGTGCCCCTTCTCGTAAGAGCAGAAGAGAACAGAAGGCTTTCTTCTCTATAGCGGGGCCCCACTTGGGGGTTGGACTAGCCTGAGAACATTTTCCGGTAGGCAACAGGAAAAAAACCGGTTTTCAGCTTAACCTGCAACAGTTGTAAACTCTGACCAGGATACATGATTAATTAGTGAAAAGAGAAGCCCCACTTTTAGCTCCCCATTGAATTAGGTTATCTTTAAACACTGACCCAGAACTGACAGTACAGCTAACCCTCTGTTTAGCACGGTCATGGGGATTTCTGGAAGGACAGAAGTTAATTGAGAAGCAAGAACAATCCCATGTTGTCCTCATCAAGGCATGGATCACTGCATCAAGGACGATGGCTTCCAGCGACTGTCCACCGAGGCCCCCGGCTTTGCCTGGCGTTGTGAGACTTAAACCGCACCTTTCTGGCTCAACAAGCCAAGCGGTGTCTGGCCCCCACCACCCCTGGGTCTGGCCGACTGCAGAGCACCCTCCAATTTTTCAGGGCGTGGGGACACAGGGAAAGCATGGGCAGTCACCCCATGCCTTACCCAGATGGCAGCAGAACTTCTAGCAAGGGGCACAGGATGGTTAGAGGGGAGCGCCCAGGGAGAGAGCAAGACAGGGGCCCTGGGTCCGCTGGAGGCTGGACCGAGAGGCCCAGGAGGAGACAGGGAGAGAGAGAGTTGGCTGTACTGGACCCAAAAAGCACACCCCCAGCAAGCTGCCCCGCATTTCTAGGAAGGAGAAAAGCAAACCGCCGTCCCACCTCGGGCTGCGCGGTCACAAGTGAGGCAGGGCTGGGACCAGTCGCCATTTGGGCGGGAGGCCAGCCCCAGGTGCGGCAGGAAGGGGTGGCGCTGGCTCAGCGGCTGCAGCTCCTCGCTCTGACCCAGCGGGGCCCCTGCGCGGTGCTGGGGACACAGCGAGGCCTCGGGCGCTGTCGGGCAGGGACACACACACACATACACACAGAGAGAGACACGCCATTAGAGGGACTGGGAGCGGCAGAGTGCGGGCCGGGGCCGAAGCCCGACGCACGCAGAGGGGCCAACAGCCTGCTGACCACGTTCTGACCCTGCACATGCAGCTCAAGCTCAAGGGCTGAGGGAACCGGAAGCTGTGCGAGCTGGGACCATGGCAGCAGCCGTCAGCCCAGCGGAAAGCCGCCAGGACCTGGGACTGGGGCCCCATCCAGACCCCCAGGCTCGGGCACCCGGACAGTCCCACAAGCTCTCGATGAATGGGACGCTGTTTCAGCTCTGGCTTTGTATCCTCTGGCTTCTTGACAAAAATGACCGCAGGAGGTGTGTGGAGAGCGGAGCAGGGGCCCACAGCTGGGCAGCACAGACCCAGCCACTTCCACAGAAGCAGCCTGAGACCAACTCCACCCACAGCGGCCCTTCTTGGGGGATGGAGAAACAACTGCACTCCTTCCAGGGCAATCTTCATTTTGGAGGGGAGGGGGCAACCTGGCCCAGGCGGAGCTGCAGGTCACAGTCCATTCCGGGCGTTTTCATAAAGGTCACAACCTTTGCCTCACCAGAGCAGTTCAAACGAAGAGGGGAACAACAGTAACTGGAAACAGGAAGAGAAAAATGCTAACCTCTCCGAGCCTTTGATAAGAATTTGGAATTCCTAGAGGCAGGAAGTCTGACTCGGGTACGCAAATCTCCCGGTTGACACATTTCTCAAAATGCTGCTGGTGGCGGTACGGTGTCTAACTGAGGCCTGCACGCAGGAAACGTTAGCAGGCGGCCTGGTAACAGAGCCACAGACTAAACGAGGACCAAGGGGAGTTTGTCGGGTGACAAACGACTTCCTTAAAAAAGAAAAAAATGTGCTGTTATGCTGACACGGTGTTACAGATTTCAAAAAGAAAGGGGGTGTGGGGGGGGCCTGCACTTTTGTTTCTTTCAGCCAGAAGATACAATGTGTGCGTCCCCCACCCCACCCCACCCCGGGCGACCAGGGCCACCAGTCTCGACACCACACTGGGACAGCAGAGGGGGCGCCCGTTCCCCGGACCACTTTTAGTGAATGCCCAGGACGCCCACACGGCTCTCCAAAACCAGCTTCCGTCAGGCCCTGAAATCTCGTCCGAATGAGGGGCAAGGGCACCACAGGAGTCCCGCATGCAAAAAATGAGAAAACCAAGTGGCCCCACCCAGCGCGGACCCAGCCATGCAAGCAGTTCCCCAAGAGCTCTCGTCCTCATGCTGAAAGAAGAGGCCTCACTCACACTAGCACCTGCAGAGGTTTCGGCCTTTTCCTCTTTCACTGAGAGAGAGACCTCCCATCTCCCTCCCGTGTGAGGCTGAAAGGACAGGGACACCCTGAGCCGGTGGGGAGACCCGAAGCCCAGTCATCGGAACAACATTGAACAGGAAATTAAAGACGTGAGGTTATCAAGAAGGAGCGTTCATTTCCTCCTACCTACCAAACGCAGTCAACTCCCCACTGTTTTTCGCGGCAGGCCAATCGCTTGGCTCCAGCCCTGCCCAGGGGTACTGAATCGGACCCCGGAGCAGTAGAAGGTCGAGACCCCTGAGCCAGAGCAGCCAAGGGACCAAATGCCCACCCCCGCAACCATTAACCGTAAATGGGCGCAGACCACTGACACTGTTGTCCAGGCTGCCCAAAGCGGAGAATGGAGGGCAGATGCGAGCTCTCGCTTAGCCCAAGGGCACGTGCCACCCTACCCGCCACCCAGCGCTGCCGTGTCTGTACCCAGCACCCTCCAGCAAGGGGTGGGGAGCGCTTCCACTACTCACAGCCGTGGTAGGAAGCTGGCGACCCCCCGGCCTTGCCGTACTCCTGCTCCGAGTAGCTGGTGGAGAGGTTGGGCTGGCTGGAGCCGCGGCCAAAAGTGATCTGGTTGCTGCCCATGCCCGTGGCGACCTGGGCCATGCGCTCTTTGGTTTTGAGAGCCTGGGCCCTCTCAGCCTTCAGCCGCTCCTCGTCCTTGAGGAGGGCCACCAGCTGCTTGGACTTCTCACGCACGTTGATGCCCTGGTCCTTGCCGTCTCGGTCGATGTACTGGAAGTCCTTCAGCGTCTGGATGGCAAAGATGTTCTCCCGGCACTGCTGGGCCACGCGCTCAGAGCCCGTCTTGATGAGGTAGTCCAGCAGTGTGAGCGCCTTGTACACGTGCCGCCAGTTCTTGCCGTGGTCGTTGAGGCGTTTCCAAACCATGCTCATGATCTCCGAGAAGGCCACCACGTTGTAGGTCAGGTCGGCGATCTCGGTCATCAGGGAGCTGGACGGGCCCCACGGGTCATTGGAGGTGGCTTCCCGCACTTTTATTTCAGCTTCCGAGTAATTGTTCACAATATTTTTCATTTGCCGTCTGATAGATGAAGTCGCCATCTTTACAGTCTTTGTGGCAACTGTAAAGCCCTTCAAAGAGAGAGATGTTCCTGTGCTGGGCAAGTTCGTGCCCTGTGAAGGTTCAGTCTCCGTAACAGGCGTGGAGCAAGATCCCTGCCAGTCATTTCCTCCGCTGGAGCCTCAGGTCCGAGAAGCCAGAAGCCATGACCTAGAGAGAGAAAGAAACACACTCCCTGTACCATGAGCTCCTCCGAGACAGCAGGAGGCTCCGGCTCAGCCCCTTCTGTAAAAAGGCAGGTACCGAGGTCTGGCGGGGGGGTCGGGGGGGCAGGGATGAGTGGACGCGCTCCAGCCTCCCTAGGAAGAAAGAGATCCATCTTCTTTTCAAAATTACAACAAGATCAGTATCACAAGGTAATAGTGAATAAAATCTAAACTCGAGGTTAAGCCTTTGGCAAACAAGAAGTAAACACTGAAACTGTTGCTCTAATTTTCAAAACACTTCTACTGGCACGGCTCTTCTGTGGGTTGTATTTTCACACGTGGCAAAAGCCAGCGACAGAAGAATCCTAACACTGGGGGCAGACAGTCCTGACAAATTTTAAATTCTGTGGGATCAAGAAAGCCTCTCGTTTCAGGTATATCTTACCCAAAAAATGCCTATCTATGCTCCCCCCCCAAAGTAATCTCTGCACCCAACGTGGGGCTCGAACTCATGACCCTGAGATCAAGAGTCACATATTCTTCAGACTGAGCCAGCCGGGCACCCCTAAAATGCCTAACTATGCCTTTAAAAATCATTCCACATCTGGCTTTGGTCCACTGTACTTCTACTTGCCCAGGACGTTTTCTGTGAGCACTTTTCTCCTGACTTTTTATAGGTTTCCAACTACTCTTTTTTTTTTTTTAAGATTTTATTTATTTGAGAGAGAGAGAATGAGAGACAGAGAGCATGAGAGGGAGGAGGGTCAGAGGGAGAAGCAGACCCCCCGCTGAGCAGGGAGCCCGATGCGGGACTCGATCCTGGGACTCCAGGATCATGCCTGAGCCGAAGGCAGTCGCTCAACCAACTGAGCCACCCAGGCGCCCAGTTTCCAACTACTCTTGCAGAGCACAGCCCAGGCCCTCCGCTGGGCTTTCAAACTTGCCAGCACCTGACCTGAGCTGACACAACTTAGAAATAATCTGGTCTAGCCCACTCCCCTCATTTCACAGAGGGGAAAAATTGAGGTCCAGGGTTACCCATTAACAGGTCCACCCAGCCCTCCACCACAAACCCACCATCCCCTCTCTCCAGAGAAGAAACATTTACTGAGCTAGAGTGAGGTCCACATCTCTGACAATCAGCTTTGGTCCACAGGTTTGGGTCTTGTTCACCAATGACCACCCAGGACCCAACACCGTGCTTGGCGTGGATATAAATGCTGTTGAATAAATTTATGAAACAGATTAAAAACAGCGTCCCTGGCCCCAGGAAGGCCACAGGCTGGGAGGGGACGGAGGCGAGCACAGAGGATCTGAAGATGCAAAGCCCGAACAACCAACTCCGATGGCTGTTGGAGTCTGCAAAGGCAGGCACGGGAAGGAGTTTCTGCCAGAAATCACTCCCAGTATGTCTTCCAAACTGAGAAGACCTGAGGCGTGGGAGGAAGTGGTAATGTAGATTATTCCTCATCTATAAAATGAGGAAATGGAGGTCCAGAAGACTCAGGGATTGCCCAAGACAGAGTCTGGACACAAAGCAAGCGCCCACCCCTTGCCCATCCCCCACTCCCACCTGCTGGGCTCATTCTGGGCTCTTCCGGCTGTGGAGGAGCCAAGGCAGCCTTGGGCCAGGCTCTACCTCACTTAATGCTCATGAAAACCCTCCAGGGAAGGTAGAGATGAGGAGCCCGAGGACCTCAAGTCATGAGGTCAAGCTGACTAAGGTCACCTCCTCCAAAGCAGCCCTGTGGGGGGTGTGTGGGGATGGCGCCTCCTCCCTCCTCCTGCAGTGGCCCTCATGCTCCACCAAGCTGCTGGGCTGCTTCTGCCAGAGAAACAATGGATGACCCCCTCCTTCCTCATCTAAAGCTTCGGACAGGCAACAGGAACATCAAAAAATAAGTAAACCTAAGTTGTTGGGGCCGGGGGTGGGGGGGAAGAGCCACAGGAAACGCAATGATCACTTATCACATATGACCATACAAATAAGAGCCCATAAAATTTCATCCTGGTGACAATCGATACATCTGCTATGGCTAACAAGGCCTTCACTCCAGCCTCAAATATGCCAAGAATTCTGTCTCCATCTGAAGCCACAGAACGGGGCTTCGGCAGAAGGCAGGCATATTCTGCCTCTCCACGGATCTGGCCAGCTCTCATAAATCCTCTAAAGCCTGTCAAAGGACCAGGGATAAAAATTTTCACGGTGACCTGCACATTTGATTTAGTTCGGTTTTTCATTCACAGCAACATTCACTGCTGGCAGAGATGGGGTGGGCCTCAAAAAGCAAAAAAGAACACTTTGATTTTTAATGAGCATCGCCCAGCTTAAAGTGCAAGTGCTCATCATATTCAGGTGTACTTAATGCCCAGGGGCCCTCCGATGTGCCAGGGATCACCGGGCACTTCCAATTGTCACTCCATCTGGTGCACGGCAGATACGACCGTCCCACCCTCCGAGAAGCAGGAGGAGCTGGGGTCCACCGCTGAAGAGGTCCTCGGCCACCCTCCTCCAGGTCAGGAAGCAGCTCTGACTAAGCATGACAGCAAATGGTCCTCCTGGTAAAAAGGCCTCAAAGGGTGAGAAATATAATGAAAAACAAAAACAAAAAACCAGAACAATTTCCTGAGGGAGAAACGATGCTCCAGGCTCTGTTGCCCTTCTTCTAGTCCAGCCACCTGGGAACCCAGTGTGCTCCTCAGGAGAGGTCAGGGAGAGGCCATGAGGCCCAGCCAGGGCATCCACCAAGCCTCCTAGGCCTTTGGTGGCAAAGAAAAGGCACCAATTCGTCTGATCAAGCGCCACAGTGCCCTCTGCCCTGCCAGACAGAGGCTGGGAAAACTCCAAACAACTGAGAAACCGGGGCTGGAGACCTAGGCAGGAGTTTTCTCTAACAGGCTCAACTTGCAAAGACATCTGTCAGTAGTCTCTCTGAAATATTTAGGCCTTAAGAAGAAGGAAAAAGGTAACCAAACGCTCCTTACAGTCAGAAAAATATATAAAGCCTATATAATTTGAATGGCTACCTGCCATTTTCTTAAAGCTATAGACGAGAGTGGCTTTCGGAATGGGCACACGGGGAGAATGGGGAGATCTCGGGAGAGGAAATTCCCAATAGGAGAAAGGACACCAAAGGCGCCTCCACGAAACCATGTGCAAGGCCAACTGGGTGATGCACCTCACCGGAGACTGTGGAGACGGACACCTCCAATTCCGGCCGTGAGAGAAGCTGGCGACACGTGAGTGGGCGGCAGGACCACAGGACCACAGCCCCGGCTGCGTGCGCACGAGGCTCCCCCAGGCGGCTCCAACTGAAGACAGGGATGTGGGTGGCTCCGTCGCCCTTGTCCCTGTGGACCTCAGACCTCGCTCTTCCCGTTCTAAAACTTCTCCCCCTCAGCGTCAGGATTGGGCTGTCAACACCTAAACATCTCCTCCCCCAGCAAACATCTGTCAGGCACTCCCTCCCAAAAGCCAGGCCTGAACACACTCCATCCTCAAGTATCCACCCTGTGCTATTTCCAGAACCTAAGTTTTGTTTTGGTCTTGCTTTTCTGAATGGTGTGCACACTCCGCCTTCCGGACTTTCCCTCTCAATCTGCCAGTTTCTTCCCTTTCCAGCTTGGGGAGCCTGAACTAACCAGCACAGGATCCTGTGTTACATCCTGCGCTCTTCACTCAAGCCGGGGAAGTTGTGGTCAGCTCCCAAACACCCAGTCTTTTATTAAGGAGCTTCCACTCAGATATGGGGACGGTGGGAGGAAGGGGGGTGGGGGGGGACGCCAAAACGAGAGGGAAAAATAAACTTCGTTTAAGGTTTAAGACCAAGATAGCAAAAAAGAAAGGAGGGGCTCATTTTCATAAATTACATACCAACAACGTGGGACAAATGCCATCAGAACATTACTAACTAGAAATGCCTTCAGAAATGGGAGTTCTAGGGACGCCTGGGTGATTCAGTCGGTTAAGCGTCCAACTCTGGATTTTAGCTCAGGTCATGATTTCAGGGTCGTGGGATTGAGCCCCACACCAGGCTCTGCACTGGGCGTGGAGCCTGCTTAAGATTCTCTCTCTCCCCACCACCCCCCCCGACCTGTGCTCGCTCTAGTAAGAAATTTAAAAAAATTAAAAAATTAAAAATTGAATTCTATCATCAGGAATTACTTAGAACCATTTCATTATGAGCGATTAAGTTTGTACAATTCTGTTACAACTTTAAATATTTTCTGAATGGAGACAAGTTGGGATTCTATTCAAAGCAAACACATTCTTCTGCACAGAAGCCATAGGACATCCATGATTCCCCTGGAATGGGATGCCCAGGGGCCCCACCTCACCTTCCCACTCCAGCCCCAGCCCTGAAGAGCATGTTCTGAAACTGTGTTAATCATTCATTTTATTAAGAATCAAGGCTTCTGATGCACATGATAACCACTAGTAACCTCACTGAGTTGATAACAGCCAAGAAACGGCAAAGAAACTGAACATTTCGGCTGGCCTGGGGAAGTCTCGCCATGGGCAATGCACATTTCTACCAGGCCTTCCAAAGGCCCTTGGAAGCTCTGGAGACTCTGCATCAAAAGCCACAGTCTCTTCGGTAGAGAAGGAAACACTCATTTTTCTACAGTCAGGCCCCAGTACTAGAAAAGGTTCTTTAAGCCAAAGAAATTTCGTTTCTGTCCTGGAAACAGATTCTGCTGTCTCTGCCTTTGCAACATCCATATCCCCTTGTCTCAGAAAGATCCTTGGTCTTCCATCGGCGGGGGGGGGGTGGCCAGGTGCAGGCCCAGCCCAGGCTCCGCCAGAGCACCGCAGGCCCCCAGCCATGGTGGCTAGATCAGGGGCGGGCGGACAGTCCAGCCTGGGCTGCCAAAAGCCACCACAGGGCCAGGGTTTCCCTAAGTCTAAAGGCGACGCCACAGAAAGCAAAGAGCAAAGGGAAGGAGGAGTGAGACAACATGGCTGGAACCTCTGGGTCCGCTTGCACCAGAAGCCATTTCCGCAG